TTATTTCAAACACTTCAAGTTTTGGACAAAACGGAGTGCTTTCAGAAGTGGCAGAGAGATATTTCGAAGTTTGTCTGGCAGGGCAAAAAGCCCAGAATCAAGTTTAAGATATTAACTGATGTAAAACAAAGAGGGGCTTTGCCCTGCCGGACTTAAAGTTGTATTATGAAGCCGCAGCGTTCTGCTGGCTAAAAGACTGGCTACTTCTTGAAGACACTGATGTGTTGGACTTGGAAGGGTTTAATAATGTTTTTGGATGGCATGCATATCTATGGTATGATAAAGTTAAAGCAAATAAGGCCTTTAAGAACCATATTGTCAGAAAATCACTGTATAATGTCTGGACAAAATATAAAGACTTGCTGGAAAATAAAACACCAAGGTGGCTTTCACCTTTGGAAGCTAAGGCCCGAAAAAGACCCAATATGGAGGCTAAATGGCCAAAATATTGGGAAATACTAGAAAAGATGGAGACAATTGGAAATTGCAGAGTTTGGAGAAAATGAAAGACAAAGTGCGAGATTGGTTACATTACGCTCAGATTAAAGAAGTTTTTAAAAATGATAAGAAACTAGGGTTCCAGGTGGAGAAATCGAAATTAGAAACAGAATTGTTAGAACCAAAGACTAAGGTACTTTCAAGGATGTATAACTTGCTGTTGGAATGGAATACACAAGATGAAATGGTTAAATCGGCTATGATAAGGTGGGCACAGGACATTGGGTATAATATTATGTTTGAGGACTGGGAAAAGTTGTGGAGTAATGGATTGAAATTTACTGCATGTAACGCTCTGAAAGAAAATGTAATGAAAATGATTTATAGATGGTATATGACCCCAGTTAAACTTGCAAAAATTTACCACCTGTCTGATAATAAGTGTTGGAAATGTAAAGAGTGTGAGGGAACGTTCTTCCACCTCTGGTGGACCTGCCCTAAAGTGAAGGCGTTCTGGGAAATGATTTATAATGAATTGAAAAGGTATTTAAATATACCTTTACCAAGAAACCAGAGGCTTTCCTTCTGGGTATTGTCAGCCAAGGGGTGGCAAAGAAGGACCAGACATTTTTATGTATGCAACAACAGCAGCAAGGATACTTCTTGCAAAACATTGGAAAACTCAAGATTTACCCACACTGGAAGAATGGCAGATGCAACTGATAGACTACATGGAACTGGCTGAAATGACCGGCAGAATCCGTGACCTGGGAGAAGAGAGAATCGAGGAGGATTGGAAGAAATTTAAGAACTATCTACAAAAATATTGTGATTTGAGTGAATGCTAAATAAGATGCTAGACTAAATAACTGAGCACCACTTAACTTAGAAGTTTTTAAGAAAACAAGTAAGATTGTGAAAGTTTAACTCTTTATGAGAACTATAAGATTATGAAACATTGAAGAGATATAAGAATTTAAATAAGATGATAAATTGCTGACAAAATGTTATAACGATGAAAGTGGGAGCGGGGGATGTGAGGAAGTCCAAAGAAAATGTGAAACTATGTTATGACAAATGTTACATTGTTTATTATGTTTATCTTTATTGTAAAACCCAATAAATTGCTTTAAAAAAAAATAATAAAAAAAAAATAAATGATGCTCCGTTCAGGATATATCCCCCCCCCAGTGGTGCCATAGTTATAAAACACGATTGGTCACCTCTTTGATGGTTGGAGCCTTGCTGCTGCTGTTTTTAATGCTTCGTATCTAGATTTTAAATCCCCCCTCCCCAATATAACCTTTGTAATTGTCACGTTCTTCTCCATGCTATATTATATTGGTTGCTTTGATTTTCTAAACAAAAAAACAAAAAAAAAACCCCAAACAAGCCATTGAGCAAAATTACCTTGAGCTCAATTGTATCAAAAGGCAGCAGAGAAACCCTGTCAATCAATAAGAAGAAACAGCATAGTGTTGCCAATAGAATGTTGGATGTGGAATGGGGAAGCAGCAAGCGAATGATGGGAAGAAGCAACCCTCCTTCCAAGCACCTGCTTCTGTATGCAGGCTTCTGCTTTCCTCCTTTCTCGGCTGTGGCAAGACTGCTAGCATTTTTGTTATTCTCTGTAAGCTGCTACATTGGCTGGGAAGATGGAAGGATGGTTGTCATTTCCAGAGGGATCTCAGACTGGGATGCTTTGGGCAGCCTGGGCAGAAATGGGCAGGATCAGTTTTACTTTCTGGCTCCTCCTTCTTCACACTGGCAATCCTTTTCCCTGCCCATAAACCTGCTGAACTGAAAGGTGTTTGCAGTCACACAAGGACAGGGGTGTGTTTAAATTTTGCCTGTCCCCTGAGGGCAATGAGATAAATTTAATTGCCCTCATTGTGGAATCCCTTGCAGATGACTGCAGTGCGTGCAGACAGATAGACAGACAGGTTGTGTATCCATAAAGCGGAATGAAGAAATGCCATGGTGCATCTGCTTTTGGTTTTCCTCAATACCTTAGGTAAAAAAAAGGTAAAGGAGCCCTGGACAGTTAAGTCCAGTCAAAGGTGACTATGGGGTTGCAGCGCTCATCTCACTTCAGGCCGAGGGAGCTGGTGTTTGTCCACAGACAGCTTTCCGGGTCATGTGGCCAGCATGACTAAACCACTTCTGGTGCAACAGGATACCGTGATGGAAGCCAGAGTGCACGTACCCTGAGCTTTTCATCTGAGGCCCTTCTCTATGTTCCCCATCCCTGAGAGGTTCAGAGGGTGACAAGATGAGAACAAACCTTTTCTGTGATGGCTCCCCATCTGTGGAACGCTCTCCCCAGAGTGGCTTGCCGGCATCATCATTAGAGGCAACAGGCAAAAACATTCCTCTTTACTCAGACCTTTGGCCATGAAATAAACTATGGCCTGTTAAAGCTGTGGGTGGGGAGACTGTTGTTATGATTATTTTATTATGATACTGTCTATTATGATGCTTTTTTATTACCTGGGATCTTTTGATAAAGGGCAGTATATAAATGGGAATAATAATAATAATAATAATAATAATAATAATAATAATAATGGCATCTGCTTGGCCAGTGTGATAACAGGATAACAGGATGCTGGACTAGATGGGCCATTGGCCTCATCCAGCCAAGCTCTTCTTATCTGCCTAGCTTTGTAGAACATGTGACCAGACTCAGGGAAGAAGTCTGTAATTCACAAACACAATCAGCAAACATTTTCATGCACAGGGATTTAACTCGACTTCAGAGGGGCTTATTATAGGTAACTGACAGACTGTTACAAGTCAACGAGTCTGTTATTGTCCCAGGTATTTTAGAGCTCATCTGGGTAATGACTGGAGCTGTGCATGCAATAAAATGTCTGTTGCAAAGAAGTCTCCAAGGAGGATGAAAATTACCTTCGTCTTTCAGCCATTTGATTCACTAATTATCCAGAAGAAAAGTTTGGATTGTGTGTCAGCTTCCTAAATTATTATAAAGTCTGCTGGAGGAAGAATACCATGGAGGGAGAGGGCTGGAGAACTGCTCCAGAAGATAAGAGGAAAAGTTGTCAACTGCCTGCCTCGTTAGAAACAGGTGTTTAAATGATTAGTTATCTAAAATTACCCTGTGCTTCAGAATGGAGGAAGGGCAGGATATAAAAACATTTAATAAATGAAAGCAAACAAGAACACTGCAGCAGATTTAATTCAGGCACTGATGAAGAGTTAGTTTTGTGTCTGCTGCATCTCATTGGAGCTGCTGTAGAAGTACATGAAAGAGAGCAAGCAGTGGAACAAAAAGGGCGAATGAGATAACAGCAGTTAAAAATAAAACCAAAACATAGTGTTGCCACCTTTGGTCAGGCAAAATAAAGGAAAAGTCAGGCAAAATATCGGTCCATCTAGTTCAGTTTTGTCTACACTGACTGGCAGTGGCTCCATAGGGTTTCAGGCAGGGAACCCCTCCCATCTCTACCTGGAGATTCCAGGGACAGAATCTGGGACTTTCTGTGTGCAATGAAACTGTTCTACCACTGAGCTAAAGACGCTGGTGGCACTGAGGTCTAAACCACTGAGCCTCTTGGGCTTGCCAAACAGAAGGTTGGTGGTTTGAATCCCTGTGATGGGGTGAGCTGCCGTTGCTCTGTCCCAGCTCCTGCCAACCTAGCTGTTCGAAAGCACACCAATGCAATAGATAAATACAGTGGTACCTCAGGTTACATATGCTTCAGGTTACATACGCTTCAGGTTACAGACTCCGCTAACCCAGAAATTGTGCTTCAGGTTAAGAACTTTGCTTCAGGATGAGAACAGAAATCGCGTGGCGGCAGCAGGAGGCCCCACTAACTAAAGTGGTGCTTCAGGTTAAGAACAGTTTCAGGTTAAGTACGGACCTCCGGAACGAATTAAGTACTTAACCTGAGGTACCACTGTAGGTACTGCTGTGTCGGGAAGGTAAACGACATTTCCGTTCATGGTGTTCTATTGTGCCAGAAGTGGTTTAGTATGTTGGCCACATGACCTGGAAAGCTGTCTGTGGACAAACGCTGACTCCCTTGGCCTGAAAGCAAGATGAGCTCCGCAACCCCATAGTCACCTTTGACTGGACTTTACCGTCCAGGAGTCCTTTACCTTTACCTACCATTGAGCTACATCTCTTCTCATGGTACAGAATAGCTATTATGTGCTCCAAATACCTGACCCCTAAAAGTGTACAACTCCAGCCAATTGATATGTGTTGTGTGTTTGAATACTCCCTCCCCCCTCTTTTTTAAAGCAGTCTCTGCACTTAGGAAACCAAGGGACAGAGTTCAAAATGCACTCCCCTACACATTCAAGGAAAAGATTTTCCACATAGGAAGCTGCCTTATGTCCATCTCTTTCAGTATTGTTTACATTGACTGACAGAGACTCTGAAGTGTTTCAGACAGGTGCTACCCAGAGATGCTGCAATTTGAACCTGGGACCTTTCATAAGCTTCTCAACACTTCCCCCAGCATACTGGGAACTTGCAGAACCACTTTTTTCCCCAGACAGAAAAATGTATACATGTTTTCAGAGTAGGAATGGTTCTTTCAAACTACCTCCTCATTTAAAATCTTAAATCTGTCATCATCCAGATTTAAAGTTCTCTGCTGAGTTTTTGTAGAGTTCCGTTGAAATACAGCTGCTTCTGTATTTCTCATTTGTACCAAATCAAGGTATCAGTTATTAGCAGTCCAGGACTTAATGTCTATAGGCTGTTAATTATTGTGCCGTAATGAACTGGAGCTTCTGAATTTCAGGGTAGAGATGTCTTAGAGCAGGAATGGGGAACCTCTGGCCTTCTGGATGTTGTTGGCCTACAACTCCCATAATTCCTTGTCATTTATCTACTGGTTGGAGAAGCAGAGGTTCCTCATCCCTGCCCTAGCGCAAGTTTGACTTACGGTAACCTGTAGGTCTGTTGATGTTGTAAGACTACAACTCCCATCATCCCTCACCACTGGCCATACTGACTGAGACTGGACAGCCATGTGTTTACCACCCCATCCCTGAGGGAAAAGGAAACTCTCTGCCCTTCTGATTGTGCTTAACAGTCCTGACCTGGAACCATTGCCAGAACCTGTATGTTATGCCCACTTTACAGCTGTGCCATTTGCTTCCTCCTGGAGAACAAGAAGTTTTCCCCCTCCTGTTCTGTGAAGGGGAGAACCAGGGATTCTGTAATTCAAGCTCACACTGCTTCTCTTATGCCCCAGGAAGATAGATAGCCCAAGGAATTTGTTCCTGAATTACACAGCCAGGTTCCTGCTGAGAAGTTATTGACAACCAAGGCATCACTATGGGGATTAGCTGGTACTGGAAAATGCTTTGAAATGGAATTGATGTGATGAAAAATGCAACTTCCCTTGCTGCTAGTGTTGGGTTGGAGGTTTGGTTTTGTTTTTCGTCAGTTTTTTGGGCAGTAAAATTCTATGCCATGGAAGAAACAGGTGTTGGATCAAACTCTCACTTCAGAAAGCCTGCAAAAGATAAAAGCAAGCCTGTGCTAAATTGCATGGGGCTAATTAGTAAGATCACTGTAAGAAAATTGAAATGCATCTTCTTTCCTCAGCTTTGTACACATACACAGGGGAGAGAACTTAGCTCCGTGGTAGAAAACATGCTCTGTAGGCAGGAGGTTCCAGGTTCATTTGAAGAAGGAGCTCTATTTAGTTAAATGATCTTATGTAGCAGAGCTGCAGAAGGTGATCTCTGTTTTAGACCTTGGTGGGTTGACTTCACAGCTGAGCAGCTTCCCCAACCTGTTGCTACCCTGCTCTTTTGAACCACAGCTCTCACCAGCCCCCCTCCCCAATTGTAGGAGGGCACCAGACTGGTGAACAGACACTAGTGACTTTTGACATAGATTCCATTGAGCACATGGATTGATAATATGGACAGATTAGCTACATACGAGCGAATTGCATGTTGATGCAAAATAAGAATGGATAAATATGAAGAAATCTGGAATGAATATTTAAGTGATAAGGTGGATAGTGATGGGAAGTAGAAGGGGGAGAGAGAGGTGGGAAAATATTGTTAAAAAAGGTGTAGGCATAGGTATATCAGTGTATCCAAATCTGAACTGTCAAATTGTGTTATTACTATTATTATGGTTTTTGTTGTATGTGTCTTTTGCGGTTGATGTTTGTATCGAAAAATTGATTAAATAATATTTTTTTAAATCGTGACTTTTGACATTAACCCAGAGGCAGAAGATGCCTTGCCTACCAGCCCTCTGTCCAAGCACAGCCTCCCTGTAACCCATTCCAGAAGCTGCTTCATCCTTTTGGCTGAGCAGAGCAATGATATCAGGTATGGCCTGGAGTTGAAGAAGATGGCGGGATTTTCTCTTCCCATTCCCTCCTTCCCCACAACACTGATAAACCTGAAGCTGTGGAAATGCAGCATGCAAGTTACCCATGTGAGATGATCAAAAGGCAGCAAGAGCTGAGCCAGGTCAGCCAAGGTTGTGGAAATCAGTCCAGTAGAGGGATGACCTTATTGGGGAAAGCAGCCCAGAACCATCTCATTACATTGCAATAATGAGATAGCAGCAGTTTGCATGGGACATCAAACCAGAGAACTGCCAGATTAAACCTCTTTCTGGAAACTAATCACAACTGCTAGTGAAGCTGAGAATATAGTTTCACTTGGACATGGGGCCCCATGAACAGTTCTTTAAAAAGCCCTTTTCACATGTTATATGAATGCATGGTGGGATGGCAGTGGTGGTGATGAACAGGCTTGTCTTTCATACATAAAGAGAGAGTAGTGCTGTTTCATACAAAAAGCCTTCCAACTCTAAAACAAATCACACAGGCTCTCAGTGGCGGCTGACCCATTAGGGATCATATGGCATTGCCCCACCAGCCAGTTTTGCCTTTAGCCAGCCTTCCACCAGCCTTCATTCTCACACACAGCCCAGAGGGCAGCACCACCCATCTGCTTCCTCCTCCTCAATCTCAGCACTGCCATTGTTGAACACCGCAGAGAGAAGCATGGGGACAATGGTAAAATAAATTGGCTCTGCTTGTCACTGGGGATGGAGTGGACTGAGCATAAAGGAAAGCAGGATGGAAGTGAGTGGCAGAGATATTGTGGTATGTGAAGGACCCGTAGTGCAGTGGTAGAGCATCTGTCTTCCACTCAGAAGGTCCGAGGTTCAATTCTTGGTGTCTCCAAGTAGGGCTGCGAATGTCACTTGCCCCAAACCCTGGAGTGTAACTGCCTGTAGAGCAGACAATACTGAGCTAGATGAACCAATACTGGTTTTCCTTCAGGGGATACTTAAAGCACAGCATTTAATATATGGATGTATATGTAACTCACTGTGAGCCCTTGTGTTAGGCAGCCTATAAATCTATGCTCCCTTTGGTTTTATATATAATATACCTCTATATTCTATGTCACATTTAATGGGCTTTAATTTTGCCCTTCATCTTGGTATCAAGTTTATTACGTGTGTTAACCTGATTGTTCTTTACCACTTGCCATAACTTGATTTCTACACCTGCTTGCAAAAGAAAGAAAAATGCATTTGATTAGAGCGTGGACAGGGGTCCTCCTGATTCAAATGTACAGATTGCCCCTTTATGTGGCTCGAATTTAATGTTATTCAAATTGGAGGTGAAGCTTTTACTTAATAAGCAAGCAGGGGAGAGATCGCCTCCCCTCCCATGGCGCCAGCAAACAATATGTTTGTTCCCACACCCTGCCTCTCCATCAGCATTAACTTCTTTGCCATCTTCCATTCGGCACTTTGCTGAAGCAAATGAAAGCGCTGGCTGGCAGCACAGATCATTCCCATTCATCACTGCCTGCTAAGATGATGCTGTTGTCTCTGGCAACAATACAGGGGCACAAACCCAATTAGGAAGCTCATAGACTCGCAAATGCAAACGCATTGTGTGCCTCCTGGTCTATTCAGCTCTAAAGAGCAACCCTGATACTTTCCCTTTGGCTTTTTCCTGACTAATGCTAATCCTGCCTCCACTTATATTATTACTTAGGATTTCTACTGCTTTTTTCCCAAGGCCACCATATCATAATGCGTTATCTCATTAGACCCCGCAACAGCCCTGTAAGAGATGGCACAGAGTTGCATCTCCATTTTACAGGAGTCCCCATTTGTTTACTGACTGCAGTGGGAGCAGCAGTGTTGCACCAGCTGGTCACATCCCTGAGGGCCATAGCTCTGGGTCACAGAACATGCAGAAGGTCCCAGGATCATTTTTTGGCATCTCCAAGGAAGGCTGGGAAAGGCTGCTGCTTAAAACCTTGGAGAGCTGCTGTCTGTCAGTGTAGACTAGGGATGGGGCACCCCAGGCCTGGTAGCTGAACGCAGCCCTCCAGACCTCTTTATTTGGCCCTTGTGGGACTCCCAGGCCACACCCTTCACCCTCCTCGAGGGTTTTTGCCTGGTTGGGATATGACCTTGAGCTCGCATGATGCCTCTTGCTTGTTTCATTGGAGGAAAGAGAGGAATGTGCGAGTGTGTATAGAAAGCAGCTATTACATCTTCCTCCTCCCTCCACCTCTGGCTTTTAGGCCCTGGAAAAATGCTCCGGACAGAACACAGCCTTGTACCAGGGATGGGGGAGAAATTCAAACCAGTTGGTGTTTAAAGGTGAATCGATCATTTGCCCCTTCCGAAACAATATGAGAACAAATATGCAGCCGCCCTTTGAAATTCAGAGCTGTCAGGATTTTGTTATGGTTCTCCAGTGTTTATAAAAATGCATATATTAGGTAATTTTAAAAAAGTGTATACAAATGAACGCATGAGTGAAAACAACATACAAACATGTATTATATTAGGAGGCATCGCTTGCAAAAAAAAAAACATATGCACACACAGAAAAGGTATTTATTAGGAAAAATGCACACTAAAATGGTGAAGAAGCTTCATGAGGATTTTTATTAAATAATAATAATTGCAAACTGCTGTAACAAGAACTAGATTTCAGATTGGAAAAATGAGAAACTGGGAGACGTGAAAGTGGGCTGGAAAAGGCTCTGCACTTCTGGTGTTGATCATCCCGAACCAGATGGGCCAATAGTTTGACTTAATGTAAGTCACCTTCCTAGCCTGCATGAAGCTCAGGGCCAGCCAGGCTGCATGGTGTATAGAACAGCTTAATGGCAAGTAGGGCTGGATGGGTGGGGGGAATGGATTGCTGCCATTACTGACCAACATTTAATCATGGCTGAGTGCACAGCAAAGTTGGCATGATCTGGAAGGAAGATGTCTGCATCCATTACAGCTAAAGTGTTACAGGAGCACCGGTGTCCCCCTTTCAAAGAAAAGGAAAGAAGGAAGACCTGCATAAAAGTATTTTATTTTTAGGCCACTGCAAGCCAGGCATCAATTTGCTTTTCTTTCAGCTAAAAACTCGGCTCAGAGTCAGCATTGGTACTTGAAGATGCAGCTATTTAATCTGAACAGTCCTCCTGATGGACTGACACTGGCTGCTCTCTGTGTCCTTGTATTTCCTTGTACGGTTCTTTCTTTTAACAAGCAGACTGCAACCCCTCTTTTGTCTCTATTAAACAGAAGAACAACGCAAATAAATCTGCAGCGGGCTGAGAAAGTGCTGCTCTTAGGAAGAGGTGATATACATTTGCAATTAAAGTGCGGCTCCGGATTACTCCCTGGAAAATAGGAAGCAAGGCCACGCAAGGTCTCCTAGGATTTGTGCAGAGCAGACACTTTTAGAAGAACCAGGCTAATCTGAAGCAGGGTGGCTAGGAAGCAAGGAGAGGACACAAGAAACTCAGCTTCTCCAGAGGGTGGGAGAAACTTGGGAAGGCCTCTGTCAGGGGAGAGTGCCATGGGCAGAGTGGCTTCATGATGTCTTCCCCTGGGATTTAATTGAAGTGTGGGAAGACAGGAAGGCTGCAGAGATACTTTTAGAATAAAAGCAAGGACGCCCAGAAATACCCCTTGGCCATCACAAGACTAAAGTAAGCATGACAAAACCCCTGGATCTCATTCCTGAATATTTCACTGAAATTTTCTCTCCTCCTTGATAATTTTTGAATGTCATTTCTTTTCTTGTTAGTTGGTGATGAATGGTTAAAAATGAAACAAAACACAGGATACATTGTTTTTGCATAGCACTGGTTTAAACAAACTAGACACACAGAAGCTCACACACATCTCCTTGGCATGTTGATTTAGATCTGGAGAACATCCCACCACAGTGTAACTTAGTTTTAAACTCAGCGCCAAGACTTGCTGCTATTAAGAGAGGAACTGGAACAAGCAATGTGTGCTCAAAGGCTTAAAATGTCGCCTTGCTTCGCAAGCCCAAAATCTGCTTCATAAATAAATAGTGGGAAGCTCTGTCAAGAGAACTGAGTCTATTTGTCATTTTCATTATCTGAGCTAAGACAATGTCATCCCTCACCTGAGGTTTCAGAGCTAACATGGATCCCATGCAGCAGGTCAAGTTAATGCACCCTCTCCTTTCCTTTCTAGTATTTTTCCTTTGCGTGTTAATTCAGCAAATGCCTGGTCACAAACCAACCCAAATGTGTGGGAAAGAAAGAATTGGCAGTAGGAAGGGATGCTTTGGTCCTGCTATGCCTGCCAAGTACCCCATTGCATCTGAGGCTCTCCCCCCCAAATTGGGAGAATGATGAAAACAGGAATGGTGGGTATTGGCAGAGGAGAATTAGCTGTTTTGTTTCTTTTTTTCAATTCATATTCCTCTCTTCCTTCCAAAGGTGCCCAGGGTAACAAACTCACCAGTCATTATTACGGCTGTGCACCAGATTTGGCTGAGTGTCAACCCAAATCAGGCCTATTCAGAGCGACTAGGGTGTTCAGTGAGTTGGGTTCAGACAGCCATGGATCGCTACGAGTTGGGTGGTTCACATTGATCCGTAGCTGTCAGGGGTAAGGGCATAAAGAAGGGAGAGAGATAGGAAGGGCAGAAAATCCTTCAAAAAAGCCCAAGACCTATCTCTGATTGTTGCATGCATCTTCCAGGACACTGAAGGGCCAACTCCCAGCCTGCCTGATGCCTCCTTCTCCAGGGTAGACCCTCTCCACTCAAGAGCTGTTCAGTGGAGGAATTGATCCTACAGGGATGCTGGTGATGGTCCACAGATGATTTTGCTTTAGGAGCATCACCTACACAGGATCAACCCCCATCACCCACACAGGATAGATCCCTCTGCTCATGGAGCATCATCCACATCCTGCAGGATTGACCCCTCTGCTGAACAGCGGCATTGATATGAGGGAGGAGGAGGCATCTCAGCACCCTTGGTCTTGGCTGGGATAGGGAATGGAGCTTTAGTCTCAGTTCCCATCTATATGGTTGATTAACATTTTAAAACCCCAATTAAACATTATTCTTGCCCCCAAATTTATTCAGGGGGTGGGATCTAGGGCAGGGTGGTAGTCCCCAGGTCAACTCAGGGCAGGGTGACCAGATGTGTCAACCAAGATCTCAAGAGCTGCCCAGAACAGTGACTCCCAATCATCAAATGCTATAAAATCTGACAACTGCTGCCAGTAAGAGTAGACAACAGATTAGCCATCTACCTTTCAGAGCAGGTACAGAGAGGGAGATAGATGAAACAGAGTCGCCACCGCTCAGAGATGCTGTGATGGATTTCCTGCACTGGCAGGGTCAGGGGGTTGGATTAGAAGACCTTTGAGATCCCTCCTAACTTTCAGTTCGGGGCTAGAAAAGCCAATGGTGCAAGCAGGTATGCATCATGTTCATCATTGCCCCAAACGAACTGTGTGAGACTGTGGCACAGCTTTACCTTGCTGAAACCACACTGATGATATGTTAATCTGGTGTGTTTCATTATCTCTCTGGGGAGAGACACGCTGAACAGCAAGAGTGTCAGAATAAGAAAGCCCCAGGGAGACTTCCGAGGGGCGGCGCGAACGGCAATGGCGGTCCTCTTCTGAACGGGAGAGGAGGCTCCGCAGAAAACGGGTCGTCCGCTACGGCGAAGCGGAGACCCACTCCGGAAAACCCCAGGCAGCAAGAGCTTGGGGTCCTGAGGCTCGGTGGGCGCCTTAAGTGACCCTCCAAACGCAGAAGGAACCTCGTAAGGGGCTCCGGAGCGTGGAGGGGGGTTGCGGCGCTGAGAGCTGCTTCACAGTCTGCGGAGTGAAGCCGCGCTGCTGCTGCCGGTGAGCGCTGATCCTTTTTCCTGCTAAAACACGGATTCGGACGAAAAGCAACTTACTCGTGAGTAAAGACTGAATCACTTGAAATCAGAGACTTTATATGAAAAACCTTAAATTGGCTTGAACTTGGCTGAAAGCGGAGAGACGTGGAAACAGGAAGTCCGTCTTCCGCAGCCATTGAACTTGAAAAAAGCAACTAAGTTGGAGGAGTGGAGGCTGAAAGGAAGAGATTTTAAACTTTACAGATCTAAGCATCTACTGAACCTGCAATTTAAAGTAAAGACTTTAAGCTAAAGACTTGGAATTTTAACTTGCACTTGACATTTCCCCTTTTATTGGATTATAAATTAGAAGGTGAAACCCAGAGTCAGGAGCTGCCTGAGCATTGAGAAATTGAGCTGTCAGTATTGCAGATTTGGATACTGTATATTGGAACTTGCAACAATCTGAGGGTATTGAGACTTTTTAAATTTGAAACATTCTTTTTGGAGATAAATAAGCACTGTCTGTAACAAAGTGACTACTTATAAACTCTGCTAAATATTTATATTTGAAGGTTCTTGGACATTAAATTAGACTCTGAAAGACATTTTAAGCTCCCTCTAGAGGACTGGATGAAAACAGTGACTTTACATTTACATTTACTTTCGATTCCCTTGTTGTTTACTTGCTCTGGGCCTTTCTATTCCCATGGGAAAAACTCAGTGTGACCTTGACTGATAGACAACGTTGGAATGAGTGGCACAAGGAAAAGAGGGAGAGTTAGACAAACAACTTTAACAACTCTAACCTCAGCCTCGCAGACACGTAGATCATCTGTACCTACTTTGCCCTCAGAAGTAGAACTTGAAGAAGTTGCCTTGCCACAGGCAAAAGAGGGAGAGGGTGAAGCAGAGCAGTTACAATTGGAAGATATGGCCTCAGGAGTATCTGTTTCTGTTCTAGACAAAATCTTTGAAAAATTGGAAGCTTTGGACAAGAAAGTAGATGCGCAATCAGCAAAGATTGACAAAAATACAGAATGTCTAAATAAATTAACCATACAAGTTGTACAGAATACACAAGCAATTGGACAGTTAACGGAGGCCTCAGCAGAAAATCGGAAATTGGCTGAGGATACTAGACAAAAATTGGAAAATTTAGAGCAAGAGGTAAGGCCACTCACCAAACAAGTTGGGGAACATCAGACTTATCTTTCCATGATAGAATTGCGAAATCGTGAGAATAATTTGAGGATTAGATCATTACAAGAGGCAGAAGAAGGAAATTTAACTGAGTTTTTGACCAAAGAATTTTCCAAGTTCTGGAATTTGGAAGAAAAGGATTTTAAAATTGTGTCGGCTTTCAGACTTGGAAGATTCACAAAGAAGGAGAGGCCCAGAGACTGTTTGATTACATTGAGATCAAAGGAGGAAAGGGATAAGATTTTGGGCCTACATTACGGAAAGTCACTGGAGGTTTTGGACAGAAGAATTGAAATTTATAAAGATATTCCAAGACAACTGCTGGATCTTAGAGCCGCCTATTCTGAACTTGCTAAACTACTAAGGAGCAACGCAATTCCATTCAGGTGGGAATTTCCACAAGGAATATCTTTTACCTTTAAAGGGAGAAAGGTCAAAGTTAGAACATTGGAAGAGAGAGACAAATTTTTGGCTACATACGGAGAGGACCTTCAAAAGGAACTGAATTACCCTCTGGGCCTGGGGCAACGCCAGCATTAACACCAGCACCTGGGGAACTTGAAGATCCAGAGAAGACACCACCCCTGGAGAAATAACCAGATAGATCCAGGATGTCTCTGCAA